TTCTTGCCAAAAAGAGAAACAGAAGAAGATCAAGGAGGCTAAAGAGGGGATCCCAAAGAAAACTCTGTGGATCTTATGCAGCTGTCAACCATAGACCTGATCCCCTAGGCTTGTTTCCATGCCAGACCTCTTCAATGGACACTATTACCTTATCAGAGAGACATGAGGACGAAAAAAAACACAGGCTAATCAAAGTGAGCAACTCTGTGAAAAGATCCCTGAGGTAGTGGACATCTACGGCAAACCAAGTTGGTAAGTTTCCTGCAATCTCCCCATTTGGTGCTGACGATGCCAGCAGAAGAGGCTGGGGAGATCACTGTCTAGGACAAGTTGCCCAAGGAATGTGGAATCACTTGGAGAGGATACACGGTATAAGCTTCGAGTGACCAGATATGCTCTGAGGTCCTTCCAAGATCTCCAAGGTATTAGTGTGCACAAATGGTACAACAGCCAAGGTGCACATCAATTGACAAGGGGGAACCAGGTTGATATCGCTGTTAATGGAGTCAAATCTCCTACTCAAGTGGGCAGAACAACATCTGGTGGAACTAAAAGCGGAGCACCTGAGAGGGGTGGGAAATCGGCAAACTGACGGGCCAAGCGGGGAGAATCTCAACTGTGAGAATGGAGTCTGAATTGGGACATTTTTCAGCAAATTGTGGGAAAATTCAGAACTCCAATCATGGATCTATTGACTTCGCCTTCCAACCATCAGGTTTCGAGGTTCCTGACGAGGTTCCACAGTCCCAAAGCGGAATGTGAAGATGCCTTGATTCACGCATGGCCGAAATGTCTTCTGTATGCCTTCCCTCCAACTCCACTAATCAGCAGAATCGTGAACAAGATAAGGAGAGAGAAGGCAGAAGTGATCTTTGTAGCCCCATTCTGGCTCAGATGACCATGGTTCTCGGAACTGATAAGAATGTCAGGATTCCTCCCGTGGAGACTACTGTATGTACATAACATGTACATGTTCAGGGTCCAATTCACCATCTCAACTTGGCTTGGCTGCAACTGACGTCATTCTTTTTCTGTTTGAATGTTGGAAGCAAGGTCTAAGACACCTTTTACCACTATTTTAGGTCAAAACAGGTTATTTAATTTGTCGTCAAACAAGCATGTAAGATGTTTCTTAAAGGGAACTATGTAGTTCGCCCTGCCAGTCAGGCACAGATTCCCCTCATGGAGTCTCTCTAAGGTGCTTCAAGCACTGACCAAGGCCCCTTTTGTGCCATTAAAAGCAATAGAGCTGAGATACCTCTCATGGAAAGTGGCCTTCTTAGTGGCAGTCTCTTCAGCTAGAAGGGTCTCTGAGGTAGTGGCCTTATTAGTGAGAAGAGAGCTGTGCATTTCCCACAAAGATTTAGTGGTGTTAAGAACAGACCCTTCCTTTATTCCCAACGTTAAATTCATCTTTCAGTGCTAATCAGCAACTGATACTGTTGTCTTTTTGTCCAAGTCCTAAAGCTCTGGGATAAGCTGGATGTATATAGAGTTCTGCACATCTGTTAGAACAGGACAGCACAGTTTAGACTTTTGGATTCTTTATTTGTATCCCACAATAACATATTTCTGGGGAAAAGGGTATCGAAAGCTACTGTCGCCCATTGGGTTAGTCTATGTATTCAGAGGGCATATGAGTCTGTAGGGTTAAGGTACCCTAGGAACATTACAGCGCACTCCCAGGGCCGCAGCAACAACAGCAGCAGCCTTCTCCATGAGAGCACCAGTAGAGGAAGTCTGTAGAGCGGCCACTCGGTCCACCTTTTCTACATTTGTTAAACATTATAGGATAGATCAGTTAGATTCTGCCGATGCAGCTTTTGATAGGAAAGTTCTACAGCAAGTTCTGGAATTTTTTTAAAAAAAGTTTTCACCCACCCATGGAGACAGGTTGTGCAATTAACCAGCTGGATTACTTCCTCCACTGAAGTAGAACAAAACATTGGAACTCACCTGAAGGTTTCTTCTCATCAATGGGAGGAAGTCATCCATTTTCCTGCCCCCCTTGAAGAAAGGTGACAAATATTTGTATGGATGTTTAGGGAGCTGGGTTATAATATGATTGGAGGGTCAGCCTCGACCCAATCCAGTTGAGTTTAGCAAAAAAAATAATAATAATGCAAAGCTCTGCCTGGAGTGAGAGGGAGGCATTACCTAACCAGCTGGATGTCCTACTGAAGAGAAGACACCTTCCAGTGAGTTCCAATGTTTCGTTCTCTCCCTTATTGTAGGAGAGCACCTGGCATAAATGAAGGGGGAAAGTGTTACATATTTTATATCTTTTAGGGATTGGTATTTCCTTCCTGTCCTTGCTAACAGTGTTTTCATCTTCAGATAATCTCCATGCATTGAAGTACAGTAGGTAGTTTGCATTTGGAAAAAGGGTTTCAGAAAATTAATGTTCACTAAGTTGAGGAGAAACAGACTATATAGGTACCACCTGAGGGAGGTCATGTAACTTTATTTGTAACCTTGAGTTTGATAGTCCTGCATGAAGTCACAAAATGATGCCCTTTGCCCTCTTTTCCCCTATGACCAGAACAACCGAATGAGTCCTCTTATTCTTTATTGTCCTGCTAGTTAGAGGACAGGAAGTGCTTTTTGCTTAATTTAGTGTGGGGTTCACATAGCTTGAGATTGGTATAGTAGCTAGTAGGGGTGTGCATTCGGTTTATCTGAGTTGAAAAAATGTCTTACTAGTATTTTGGGGGCATTTTAAAGCTGAATGCAGATCAGAGATCTGTATTCCGCTACTGATATAGCTTACCCCCAAAAAAGCTTTTTTTTTTTTTGCTTTTATTCGGGTGCATTCAGCTGTGCCAAAAAGGAATTTTAAAAGATCAATCTCTTTAAATGCCTTCGCCTCCAAGCTCCACCACCGTGGCACAACTTGGCTAGTGAACTCAGAAGGCATATGTCTTCTGAGTTCACTTGCTGAGTTGTGCCGCTGTGCTTGGAAAAGATAATAGGCATTTAAAGAGACTGTGGTCTCTTTAAATGCCTTCTCTTCCAAGCCCTGCTGCAGCAGTGTGACTTGGCAAGCACTTGATGAGTTGTAAAGAGATCACGGTCTCTTTAAATGCCTTTTCCTTCCTCCATTGAAAGAAATGGAGGATGGGGCATGTTCTTTGGGGGCCTATTGAATTGGATCCCCTGGTCCAATCTTTTTTCAAACATGGGGGGGGGGGTTTGAGGAGAGGCATCAGCAGCTATGCTGCAAATTTGGTGCCTCTACCTCAAAAAACAGCCTCCCCCTGAGCCCCAGATACTCCTGGATCGATTATCCATTATAATCAATCTCTTTAAATGCCTTCGCCTCCAAGCCCCACCACCGTGGCACAACTTAGCTAGTGAACTCAGAAGGCATATGTCTTCTGAGTTCACTTGCTGAGTTGTGCCGCTGTGCTTGGAAAAGATAATAGGCATTTAAAGAGACTGTGGTCTCTTTAAATGCCTTCTCTTCCAAGCCCTGCTGCGGCAGTGTGACTTGGCAAACACTTGATGAGTTGTAAAGAGATCACGGTCTCTTTAAATGCCTTTTCCTTCCTCCATTGAAAGCAGTGGAAGATGGGGCATGTTCTTTGGGGGCCTATTGAATTGGATCCCCTGGTCCAATCTTTTTTCAAACATGGGGGGGGGGGTTTGAGGAGAGGCATCAGCAGCTATGCTGCAAATTTGGTGCCTCTACCTCAAAAAACAGCCTCCCCCTGAGCCCCAGATACTCCTGGATCGATTATCCATTATACCCTATGGGGACCAATGGTATAATGGAGCCAAAAAAATTCGGGTTTTCAAAAAAATTCCTGAATCCCAATGCCATACCAATATTGAGATTTGGGAATATCAGAAAATAACAATATGAAAATACCAATATTTTTCAGGTTCAATATTCCTGAACCTGAAAAATACCTTTTTTTTTGCATACCCCTAATAGCTAGTGATAAATATCTGAAGGGTGAGAATGTAATACTTAAAAAGCAAATTCAGTGTAGATGCTTCTGAGAACTTGAGTAGGCTGTGTGTAGGGAGCTTGTCTTCAATGGACTATGAAATTCACAAGAAGTTGAGCATGTTACCTTGCCCACATGCCAGACATATTGAAGCATGCTCTTTTCATGGCTTGAAGCACATGAAATAATGTAGGCTGAATCCTGTTAATAGGATTTATGTAAATACAGATATGTGAAATCTTGAAATTCTTATCACTGCTGTAAGAATCTTCATGCTTAATAGATTTACTAATTGATTTTTATTTCTAACCAGGTTAGATACATTGTAGAATTGGCTTTTTACACCATCATGTTATTGCATGAATTTGGGGGCTAAAAGTATTCTGTGAAATAATGTAGAGTGGCTTTGTGTGCAATTACAGAATTGTATTTTGTAGATGTATGCAAGATGTTCAAATTCAGTGGGGTGCCAGATCAGTAATTTCGCTCAAAGAGCATGGTGAGAATAATCTTTCTCCTAAAACAAAGCCCAAGGATAAGTAATAACTTTTTATGCATGATAAGCATCAAAAATATGAGCCTGCTGGTCTTTGCTTTTCATTTTTCTTTACCTTTGTCTTTTAGTCAGAACCTCCTGCAGTGAGCATACAATGTGATCAATAACTCAATAACTTTTTTCATGCAGTAATTATCTTTGTGTGGTATTATCTGAACACTGTTTTTATTTATTACTCAAAAGATGCAGGAGATATTTATATAACCAGCTGATCCCATTTGGGACGAAGCTGTTTGTGACAGCAGGGGAAATGGTTCCTATTAAAGAGTTTTTTAAACAAATATTTCACAGAAAGCTTTTATCAGCTTTTGCTTGAATTATAAAAAATGTTCTAGAGTACTACATTTCTTTAATGAAATAAACTACTGTGTTTTGTGTACCGGTTGCACTTCAGAATATTTTCCTGTTATTAAAACCACCCATAGTCAACAGTAAAGTTGTACTTTATCACTTTAAACTGTTCATGTAGTTCATGAGTTTCCATTTTGCAGACTGAGGTCTTACAAGAATCTCGAATGATGATTCCAGATTGCCAACGCAGATTAGAGGCTGCTCATGCAGATCTTGCTCAGCTATTAGTAAGTACAGAAGAAATCATTTCTGCAGGGTTGTCAATCAAATTAAAAAGTTGATTAATTAGCTGTCTTTTAACTGATTAATCGACCCTATGTGAGTCTGCTTAATACCAAAATCCTTGATACGTGTACTGTTTTGAAATACTGAAGTATGAAAATTTAAATAAACAAAGGCTGGCACTTGTTCTTAAAAGGAAATGCCATATTTAATGTTTTTATTTTCCATTATGACAACATACCCAAACTTAAATAGTTCAAAACTAAATGTGTGCCATTTATTTTACCTTGATTAAAATTTCTTCTTACAGTTATCCAGCTGAAGCATAGAATAAAGCTTTAATTGGTGAACAGTTAAATAGATTAAAACTTGCAGGCCCAAATTTCTGCTGTATATCTGATAGAGCTGGTGTAGATAGAAAGCTAATGTGATGCAGAGAATAGCATGCTGGCCTTAGGAGATCTTGGGTTCAAATCCTTCTTAAACCATGAAGTTCCCCAAATGACCTTGGGCCAATCACGACCGTTCTTAGTCTAATCTACCTCAGAGGATTGTTGTAAAGATAAAATGGAGGAGGGGGAAGAACCATTTATGTCATTCTGAGGTCTTAGGAGGAATAATGGGATAAAAATGTATTAAATAATATTCACTTGTCAAGGGTTTGGGAATGGGTTGTGAAATTACATATTCTGTAGCCTTTCTCCTCTCTGTTGTGAATTTCCTCTATGTTGGTGCTGACCATGACAAAATCCTTAAGCAGGATATGAAATCTATTCAAACCTTGATTTCAAAACCTGGTTAAAATTGAACCTGATTGGTAAGTGTGGTTCTGATTTGTATCATATAATCATGGTAGGGAAAACTCACACTAAAATGGGGAGAGAGCTTGTGATTCTGATAAAGGGATGGCATGGTGAAATATCATATCTGCATTGGCCTTTCATGTACTCTATGATTTTAAGATGAGCTGAAGTATGTATTTGCCAAGTTGACTTCAGCAGTCACATTAATGTTAATATCTTCTCCACCAAAACAAAACTCTCCACTAATTACAGAGCTTATAATGCTATATATGGTGTTCTGTATGGATTTGTATGTTTTGGTAGTAATTCATTTTAATTTAAAACAACCTGGATTACAACATAAGCAGCCATAACAAAGAAAAACTAATACTGCATGCCTCTTTTAAAAAATGTACAATTATTAGATAAAAATGACACAGAAAATGTTTGTTTAATTTGCTTTTGAAAGATCTCAGTTAAAATATCTGACATGATGATGGTGAGCATTACCATTGTTCCCTCTTTGTACTGATTACACCAATGTTGGTTGGGCTACTGAGTGCATTAGTACACATCTTCCCAATGTGTTTGAAGGTTTTCCACTTGGTTGCTTTTCTATTTTTTCCTTCAACTCGCTTTCCTATACAAAGCTAGTAAGCTGAGAAAGGTCAAGTTGGGAAAACCAAATTCACTCTGTGTCATAAGCTGCCATAGCCTTGGGAAGTGTTTCTTGAGCTGGGGCACATGTGCCTGAATCATTGCCAGAAATGGTTTCCAATGCATTGTGGCCATCTTTCTTTTCTCTTACCTACAAAGGTTAAGTAATAGTTTCTTGGCATAATTAATATAAGTGACTGGCTACACAAGTCCTGCACAAGAATAATACATAAGAAGAGCCCTGCTGGATCAGACCAGTGGTCTCTCTGGTCCAACATCCTTTATCATACAGTATCTAGATTTGAGCTGGAGTAGACCAGAAAAGCAGGTTGCTTACCAGTAACTGGTGATCTTCAAGTGGTCATCTGTGCATTCACACCCATGGGATTTAGTGCACACGTGCTGGATCGATCGGTGCTGTAGCAAGCTCTTTTAACGGATTTTCGTGCCCAGTCCCTTGGGCATGCACAGGAACCCCACCGTGCATGCCCAGAGGGGTGGACGCGGACATCCTGCCAGTTCCTTCAAACCGCCGCAAATCAACCCCTATTAAAAATGTAGAAGCTGACAGCAGCGGGGAAGGAGGGCGGGTGGTGTGAATGCACAGATGACCACTCAAAGATCACCAGTTACTGGTAAGCAACCTGCTTATCTTCGACGTGGTCTCTGTGCTTTACACCCATGGGAGATTAGCGAGCAATAGCTTACCTGGAGGAGGGTGCTGGCAGGTCTTTTACTGCATAGCCGAAGACAGAATGTGACGTCCCATGTTGGTATTGGTGTTTGTACGGACGTCTAGGGCGTAGTGCCTGATGAAGGTGTTAGGCGTGGCCCAGGTAGCAGCTTTGCAAATGTTCGTCAGTGGCACTCCCTGGAGGAAGGCAGTGGAAGTCGCGACAGCCCTGGTAGAGTGAGCCCTGATAGGGCCAGGTAATGGCTGTTTGGCGAGTAAGTAACATAGATGAATTAGACCTACAATCCACCTTGACAGGCGCTGGGCTGTGATGCGAGTACCCAGACGTGCCGGAGTGTACGAGACGAAAAGTTGTGAGTCCCGTCTAGTTGGGTGGGTTCTATTGAGATAGAACAGGAGAGCCCGCTTCACGTCCAAGGTGTGTAA